AACCATGGAAACCCCCAAACAACAACTAGCAGCAAAAACCCGCCCCCCCCCCCCCCCCCCCCCCCGCGACTTCTTCCAACTTCTTCCCCACGGCAATCGCTCTTCGCAATCGGTGTCATCCTCACCAGCAAACAACACAATCAATTGCCCAGGAGCGAGCGAGCCACGACCGACTTGGACTCGCGCCGCGGCGCCTCATCCCACTGCTAGACCCTCGAATTCCCGATCCCTCTGCCCTCCCCTCCCCGCCATGAAGTCGACACTCTTCCTTCTGGCCACCCTCGCAAATGCCGCGCCCGCCGACCTCTCGTGGCAGACAGACCTCTCCGCCCCCGTCAGGGGCGGCGCTGCCAAGGTCTACGGCCTCGTCCACAACGCTCTCTCCGCGCCCACCCCTCGATTCTTCGGCGATGCCACCAAGAACACCCCATACTTCCTGTCAGCGTGCAACTATGTACGAGTAGAGAGCCCGCCGGGCTACATCTCCTATGGCTTCCAGGTTGGCCTGCCCGTCTCGGGCGAGCACGAAGAGAATGAAAAGTTTTGCGACGCGCTGCGCGAGAGAATATCACATCCCATGCCACGGGGGAGAGGGGATATCGAGATCACAAAATGGAGGTGTGAGAATGATGGACATGGGAATCGATGGATTGGTTTCAGAACCGAGGCGGTGATTGACGAGAGGATGATGGTCGGGCGTGTCAAGGAGGGTGCGTTCCCCAACGTCTACTGGCTCTCGCGCGAGCACTGTGCTGCTCAAAAAGATGAGTTGCGGAGGGTCAAGGACCAGAGAGAAGGCCATGTGAAGAGACACGAGGTCCCTCTTCCCGGCGAGGTGGGCAAGCATGGCATTCCACCTCCCGTCATCGGATACGGCCGTGCGACGTGCATCGCCGAATACTACAGTGATTCCAGTGCCAGGTTCAACTTGAACATCGGCCTGCCCTTCTTCACCGGCGAGGCTTGCGAAAAGGTCCGATGGGCGATCGAACACCCTGCAGGCAAGGAGTTTTTCAAACTTCCACACTGGGAGTGCAGCCCGGCCGGCTATGGCTACACCTGGATCAGCATCGGGGCCAGACCGGAGCAAGCGGAAGGCATCACAAAGTCCCTCGAAGAGGGCTATGCCCAGGCGGGATACAAGGACATGAAATTCGACAAGGACGATATCTGCAAGGTCCGAGAGAAGGGAGAGGAGCGGAAGAAGGAGCGTGATGCTGCGCTGCTCGACGCGAATGGCGATCAAAAGCCGACATGAGCAGTCCTCGTGCGAAGAACAGATATACATCAGGACAGCATGCGGATGGTCGTCCTCGAGCATCACGCCGCGCCGTCCCGTCCCAGAAATTTGGACTTTAACCCAGCGCCCACGCCTCCAACAACACCACGAGGATGCTGTGAGGCAGCCCATCACGCACCATCTAATGTCCAATGGGCTTCGCTGGCCGCGGCCTACACACCATCATTGCACCTCAGCGACACCTCGGTTTTTCTCGTTTCAAAAGCATGGAGCTATCTGGAGGAGTCGTCATTACTATCATCAACATTGGCATTGTCATCAGCATTGGAAAGCGGGAGTTCGAATCGACCTGGTTACTTGACCGTCAAATTTCGACAGTATTCGGGGGGGGGGGGGGGGGGCGGGCCCCGGGG